CAACCAGCGCGCAGCTGGGCCACGAGCCCCTGTCCCCGGAACGTGATCACCGCGGGGCTGGATGAGCCCGGAGCGTGCTGGAAGGCGAGCCCGGTGTCAGGGAACCCTGGGCCAGCGGGACTCAGCCGCGTTCCCAGAACCGCGCGCGCCGCACGTAGCGCACGGCAGCAAATACTCAGCTGGCCTCTCCCGGCCTGTGCGAGCCTGGAGGGGTCCTATGTGTTATGCGTGGGTCTGTGCCGAGTTGCATCTGAGTTCAGAAAGTTGTGTCTCCACCCGGTGCTGTGTTATTTGAAATACTTGTGCTCCTTGCTTTGTGTGTCCAAGCTCCTTGGCCCACGCAAACAGAAGTTGGCTGACTTTTCTTTCTCCACAAATAACGCCATTCAGCCACTGAAAACAGGCAGGGGATGTTAAGAAACCTCGTGAGCCCATGAAAGGAGGTGGCCCTGTGATCCCTCACTTCTGAAGACAGGCAGGGGGCCAGCCTGGACAGCCTAGCAAGACTCTACCTCTAAATAAGCAAGCAGACCCTTTGTGTGCCGTTTTCTCCTTGGAAGAGACCAACGTGAAGTTACTGTCCTTGTTCATTGTCAGATGCAGCATGCAGCCCGAACCCCTGCCAGGGTTCCGACATCCTTAGGCAGTGAGGGAAAAGTCAGGCTACATGTCACAAACCTCCCAAGACAGCTGCTTTCACTGAGGTTTCCTTATTTTATTTTGGACCTTGAGGGACCAAATCAGTTGTACAATTAAAAACTATAAAACTAACTTTGTTAGTCAAGTAGAAATTTTCTTCTTTTGTTTTTCTGAGATTTTAGGTACATCATTTCCCCTTTCCCTTTCCTCTCTCCAAACACTCCTATATATCCCTCCTTGTTCTTCAAACTCATGGCCTCCTTTTTTGCTAAGTGTTGTTATATGCATATATGTGCAAAATATTTTCATAAAGCCCCATGACCTGGCTCTGCTTGGTTATCCAGCAGCCAATTAGAATGAACACAATTTTCCTGTGTCACTTACCTGTCAAACACAAGAATTGTTACAATGGAGTTAGAATGAAGAAGAAAAAAAAAAATGCATGCTGCTGGACTGGAGAGGGCTCAGCTATTAGAATGCTTTGCTACTTTTTCAGAGAACCAGAGGTCAATTTCCAGCGCCCAGATGAGGCAGCTCACACCACACACACACACACACACACACACACACACACACACACACACACACACACAGAGTCATTCTAGCTCCAAGGGATCTACGACCCCTTCAGGCTTCTGCTGGACCTGCACATGTGCACACAGACACACAAAAGTAAAAATGCATCTTTTCTTTTTTAAGAAATTCAAACTTAACATCACAGAGGAAAATAGTGACTGGGCTTTTCAAAAGATCCACTTTCATATTATACATATGAGTATTTTGCCTGTATGTATGTATGTATGTATATGTATGTATGCACACAGTGCCTGAAGATGTCAGAAGAAGACATTGGATTCCCTGGCATTGACGTTACTTGTGATTGTAAACCACCATGTGGGTGCTGGGAACCAAACCCTTGTCTCCCCCCAAGAGCAGCAAGTGCTCTTAAAACACTGGATCATCCCCCTAGTCCTTGGGCTCTGTTTCTGAAATCAAGTATGTTCATAATGGTACCTGTTGTTGCCCTCTCAAGTCAGCCCAAACCATTTGAAAGACAATGATTGGGGTTTGATCCTCACCTGAATCCAGGCAAGTTCTAACCTCAGTTTCCTGGTGTACAGCATGGAGATGATTAATTTGTTCTGAGGAATAAATGAACCTGTGCATCTCAGCACCATACCTAGTTCACGTGTTCATTCCATATTAGTCTCAAGTGAGTACGTGATTGGTCCGTGCTTGTTTCTACTTTCCTCCTCAGCAAAGTTAGTACCTGAGGGAAATGGGGATCACAACCATTGCTCATTGAGCCTTGTCATGCACATTGTGGTATCTGTTTAATCCTTACAGAATCCTGGGTGGTGTTGCCTATCATGAATACCATCTTAAAGAAAAGAAACTCATTAGGAGATCAACAACCCTGCCCAGGCCCTTCCGAGTAGAGCAGGGATCAGAACCTGCATGATTGCAAGATTGCTAACTACCGCCTGCCCCATTCTGTCTTTCTTTAGTCACTTGTCAGTGAGATGGACAGAGATAGGAGGAGCCTTATGTGCTGTTGGCATCAAACTCTTCATATTTCACAGTTAAGAAATCTAAGTCCTGAGAAGCCAAGCTGCCTGCCAAGGGCTGGTTAGGTCAGAGCCAAAATTAGAATCTCGGGCGGCTTTTTCTCTATACAAACCATACATGTTGAGGTAAAGAGTGAACATTACCAGCTAACGCTATGGAACAGCATACGATCAGAATGTATTATGACTCCACTTAGGAGGGTATGGTGTGCGTGGATGGGAACTAGAATATGGGCTCTTGCAAAACACGAGTGCTTATTTGGGAATGCTAAAATGCTTTTGTTTTGCTTCTCTGTAGCTTTTGAATTTTTTTTTTTTTACAATGAACACAGAAGACTTCTGTAATTAAGAAATAAATTTGAGATTCAAGTAATGTGGAGAGCCTCCATGCTAGGTGCCAAAACCATGCTGGAAGTTTGGTTTTTTTTTTATGTACTTAGCTGGTTTGCTCCCACTGTCCTTCTGAAATTCTATTAACTCAGCTCTCTCTCCTGCCCCCTGGTGTTGATTAATGCTGTCAAAGCAACTTTCTGTTTCAACTTCAAGGGAAATTTTTAGGGAAAACAGGACTCTTGCAAGAGAAGTCACGGTAACCTGTAAGCTTGGTGATCTGAGCCTCTCCCTCAGGCTCCTGGCTGTTTTTTACTACCTTTCTTGATGGGATTGGAGAAACTGGAAAGGAGTCGGTGTTTTTAGCTGGGTATTGCGTCAATGAAGATGGATTGAATGAGGAGTTATGAAGCATTTTATTATTTGTGGGTTTTCTCCAAGTGTGGTTTGGCAGCATTCAAACATTGCTTTGTCTTGCTCATCTTCGCATAATAAATCTGTCGACTGGGGATCTTTAAGTGGTGCAGTGTGTCCAGCACCATGCTAGGGGTTACCAGGAGTCATAAGCCATAGTCCTTTGACCTTGAGAATAGTCCAGACTTTATTTGACTTTAAACTCAAAAAGTAGCCTGGGAATGAAGGGCTGTTGACTGTGCTTGAGTTACACAAGTGGGACTGCATTTGCTCAATATGTCATCAGAAAGCTGAACTGCCATTGTGGGAAACTCACCCTGGGGTCTCCCAGTTACCAACTCATTTTCTTTTTCATCATTCTTCGTGTGTGTGTGTGTGTGTGTGTGTGTGTGTGTGTGTGTGTGTGTTGTGTGATATGTATATGTGTGTACATGTTCATGTTTGCGCACATGTGTGTAAAAGTATACATGTGTATGTAAATATTAAATGTCTCCCTCAGTCCTCACCACTGCCTTATTTTTTGAGACAGGGTCTCTTCCTAAACCTGGAGTTCACGGATGGCCAACAGCCCCAAAGACATAGCTCACCATAATCCCAAACTCCTGTACTCAATCAGTCATGTACCTCAGTTTCCCACGTAATTAAGACTATAGGCACATACCACCAACAAAATAACATGATTTTTTTTTAGTCTCCTGGGTTATTTTGAACAAAATCAGATATCTGAGTGCTACAAAATGAGATGAGAAATGGATAAAATACAATCTGACTCTGGGAAGGAGGCAGTCATTCATCTTGATGGTGACATCTCCAAATTGCTGTGATATCTCTGTCTTCACTGAAGGATGAAGGTGAATAAAGTGTTGAGTTAAAAAGTATCTAAGGGGCTAGGTGATGCTGATGTAAGCCTTTAATCCCAGCACTCAGGAGGCAGAGGCAGGCGGATCTCTGAGTTGGAGGTCAGCCTGGTCTACAGAGCGAGTGCCAGGACAGTAAGGGCTGTTACACAGAGAAACCCTGTCTCAAGAAACCAAATAATAATAATAATAAATCTAAGAAGTAACAATTGAATCATGCTGAAAGACATTTTAAAAGACTTTTAAATTTTTACTTATGAGCATGCGTGTGAGTATGTGCGTGTGCGTGTGCGTGTGCGTGTGCGTGTGCGTGTATGTGTGTGTACACCATGGCACCTGAGTGGAGGTCAGAGGATACCCTGCAGGAGTTGGTTCTCTCCTCCTGTTATGTGAGATCCAGGGATAAAACTTGGATCATCAGGCCTGGAAGGAAGTGCTTTTACTCACCGAGTCATCTTGTCAGCCCTTTAAAGGCTTTAATGTGACTGACTGCCTGGAAGATGAAAGAGAAGAGCCATGCAAGGAAAGGAACAGAAATTAGCCAAAGTGTAACCAAATTCACAAGAAACATCAAAAGAAAAATCAAAGTGAGGACAAACAATATTCTGAAAAAGAATAAGAAGAAGGCATATTAGCTCTGTCTGCTTAAATTGTACTATAGAGTTTTACAAAATAAACATTGGTACGTGAATGCAGAATTAGCAGTGGGAGGAAAGAATCCATAAATAGACATGCTTACATATTAGAATTTACTATATGCTTCAGGAGAAAGGGGAATGAATTGTTCAATAAATGGACAGCTGACCAGCCTTAGAGGGGACATTAGAAAGATGTGTGTAATAAATGCTTTCACCCTCTGTGGAAAAGAGCCTAAAGTGGGTTGATGGCCTAACAACATCTATAACGACAGGTCAGTAAGGAAGTCCTGGTCTGCTCTGTGTTTCTACAACAAATT